CATATATGTGTGTGTGTGTATATATATATATATATATATATATATATATATAGTTGGGTAGGCTACTTAAATTGTACGTGACAAAAATCGTTAGTAACGTAATCCATTACATTACACATTTTAATTTATATAATCAGACTACTTTTTAATAACTTCTGACTTAACTCGTTTGTCATATATATTTAAATAGGCTAATCTTGTACCATATTGATATAAAAATGCAAAGAAAAATTAAATATTCCATTTGTTATTGACAACATAAAGTGCATTAAACATTACATTACGTCAAGGTTTCCCAAACTTCGGTTTGTAAAGGAACTGCAGGGGGTTCGTGAATTTAATGAAAAGCAAATAATTAAATCATAAACATTTTATATGAAAATAAATTATTTTAAAATAAAAATAAAACACTTACTAAAAAATATTAAAAGATATTTTATTAGTTTGTGTCCATTAACCAATGTCAGAGAACCGTGAACATGCAAATGTGTTGCTTAATTATTAACTTATTACTTTAAAATTTCAGGGGTACTTGAAATATTAGGTGAAAGAGGTTCAGATGACAAATAACGTGAATTTGTGCATTTTAATGTGTTTAAAAGACAAAAGCCTTCCAAAGACATAGTAATACATGGTTAAATAACCTATGAAAAAATGTGTTCATCAGTAGTTGATGCAATGTTGAGAAAACACTTAAAATTAAAAAGATTTTGCTGCGTTGCTTGTTAATTACAGCCACCTGAACATTGACTGGTCTTTGTGTAAATGTCCACAAAACTGGAAAACTTTCTGAAAACATTTAAGATAAAAAAAAAAAAAAAGAATTAGGGAGAATCAATAAATGTATTAATATATTAATCAATTTATTGCTTTTGTGTGAATAATATGTAATCATGTAATCAATAAAAAAGTAACTGTGCTCTGATTCTGAGTATTTTAAAATGTAATTTAATCTAATTACAAGTACTTAATTTTTGTAATCTGATAGTATATATAACACACATATAACAGTTTGGAGGCAGTAACTTTGAAAGGCTGCATTTATTTGATCAAAAATACAGTAAAAACAATAAAATTGTAAAATCTCATTTAAAATAACTGTTTTCTATTTTAATATGTTTAAAAAATATATTAATGTGATGGCAAAGCAGAATTTTCAGTAGCCATAACTTCAGTCTTCAGTCTCGCATGATTTTGCAGAAGTTTTTACTGTCTTCTTGTTTTGATCAATTCAATGCATCCTTGTTGTATGAAAGTATTAGCTTCCTTTTAAATAAATAAAATTTACTATAAGATCACTGACCCTAAACTGTAGTATATAGTATATACATACATATACATATTTAGGTTTTTGGTACATTTAAACGACAAATATTAATCCTCCTATTTACTACTTTTAAGAACTTGAGCCAAACTAATTTTTCTCCATTCTATTTTGATGACAGTGAAGGAAGGATTTGTATTATGTAGTTGCTCACAAAGGGTTATTTTGGTAGAAAGGCCACTTCACGTAAGGCATGAATGGCATCCCAAGGCTAATATTTATGTCTAACAATAGCCGGTGACAGGGCCAGCTGCTCCAAACTGAGGCACGATTCTCAGACAATCCAGAGTAGTTGGGACTAAATATCTTGTGGTGAAGCGCCCATGCCTTGCAGGTAAAATATCATCAGGAATCTTGAGGCTTGAGGGCTGAAGTATTAGCTGTGTTCGTGATATAGCCTGTGATGGACACACAGCTGACAAGTCAAGAACTTTTTTTTGTCTTAAAGCAGCAGCTTAATATTATAAAGGGACTTGAATAAAGTTGACTTGCCTTTATAAGGATTACAGGTGGAGTGTGATTTTTTTTATTTTATTTTTTAACAATAAAGCAGTAGTTCAGCCAAAGGTGAAACTTTGCTGAAAATGTACTCAACCTCATGGCATCTAAAGCCCTATTCGCACGGGATTAGTATTATCTGGGGACCTTGTGTGATTTTGAAATTACGGTACCCCCCCCACATCTGAATTTTGTGTGGTGCATTCGCACGGGATAAGCGAAGCCTGTGATTTTACTCGAATTTACTGACTTATCTCCCGGATACCCGGATGTCAAGGCTTTGAGAGTCCCGTTCTATGGTCCAGTTAGATGGATTTAAAAAAAATAAACTAATATAGTTTCGTGCGCTGTGTCATTTACATTTCACCAGGTTAAAATAATATCTCAAGCTTTATGCTTGATTTATTTGTAACACGTTAACCTCAAAACCTTTTCAGCTTTCTCTTTCTGCAAATTGTATGGTGTAGCGATATGATGACAGCACCCAAAATACTATCAAACACTCCAACGCAGCTCCATTCTTCGCGAAAGATGGATAAAAAGGCGCACAGGAAACAAAAACCTCGAAAAATGATATACAGCCTGCCAAATGCTGGCCGAATCATCAAGAGATGCCGATTCGCACGGGACTAATATTATCACAGGGACCTCGGTGTTCGGCGAATTATGGTAGGTCATTTGCGGGGGAATTTTTACTTTACAAATTACAGACATGGCCGATTCGCACGGGATTAAGATCACAGACAACCTCCGCAATTATTACAAATGACTGGAGGTCACCAGGTAATACTAATCCCGTGCGAATAGGGCTTAAGATGTAAATGAGTTTTTCTTCACTGGAACAGATTTGGAGAAATGTAGCATTACATGACTTGCTCACCAGTGGATCCTCTGCAGTGAATGGGTGCCGCGAGAATGAGAACCCAAACAGCTGACAAAAACATCACAATAACCCACAAGTAATCCACACAACTCCAGTCCATCAATGAACACCTTGTGAAGCAAAAAGCAGCATGTTTGTAACAAATCCATCATTTTAACTTTAAACCAAGACTTCTGGCCAAAATGCCAGTCCATAATGCATAATGGTAATGCAGGGATTACCAAACTTTTTTTGTCAGCCAAATGTCTTTCATGCCAGTTTCGGAAAACTTGATGTAATGTTTAATGCATTTCATGTTGTTAAGAACAACAAATTGAATATATTTTCTTTCTCTTAGTATTTTTATATTAGTATGGTACAAGTTTATCCTATTTAAATCTATGTGATAAAGTTAGCAAGTAAGTAAGTAATCTACCCAGCACTGATTATGGATAGAGGACACGTATATTTTGGCCAAAAGCAAGTTTGAAGTTAAAAATGTCTTGATGGATTTATTATTCCTTCACATAATTGACAGACTGGAGTTGTGTAGATTACATGTGGATTATTGTCATGTTTTTATCAGCTCTGATAAGGACGGCACCCATTCACTGCAGACGATCCATTGGTGAGCAAGTGTTGTGATGCTAGATTTCTCCAAATCTGTTCTGAAGAAACAAACTCATCTACATCTTGGTTTTCATTTTGGGGTAAACTAGTCTTTAGAATACTTCCCACTATTCAGTTCAATATGTCAACTTCTGGTTCAACCAGTGGTGTGAGTTTGGGGCAGAACTACCTGTTTGTCCAAAAAAGGCAGACAGGAAGTGCATCCCATTTTGCATAGTTATGCACTGACTATTCTGCTATTTTGTAATATGAGAAATGTGAGTAGTGTGTTGACATTAAAATTTCCAATAAGAAGTGCAAAAAAAAAAAAAGTGTAGAAACCCCTCAGAACACGTTTGCAAACACACTGCAACACAGTAGCGGTAAAAGCATCAAGAATGTAGTTCTTTTCATTCTATTTATGGCAAAGACTCACTTTTTTTTTTCAGAACCTTGTGTGTGTAGCAATACTTCTGGCTGAATAGGAAGTACGGTAAGTTTCTAAATAAGTTCATGTGACTAGTATTCAGACCACAGTCACAGAGAGTAAGAGGATGGGGTTTGGTTTTCATCAAAAGCTGTGCACCGTTTTTATTGTAGTATTCTAAATTTACATTAAAAAAAGAAAGTCTGCCCATGTCCTAGATCCATTATGAAAGTTAACGCACAAATTCCATATACATCTCATTGTATTTTACATAGAGGATAAGAATATAGGCATGGAGGTGGCATGATCAATCACAAAGCTTAAAAGAACCAAAAGAGATTAAAAGAAAAACCCCTGAATAAATAGAAGGTGCTGTCTATTAGCAGAGAGTATGTAAGCATGTCACTCTTTTGAGAAGTTCAACATAAAGCCGTAGCGTGGCAAATCTCACGCCCTCCTTTTACCGATGAAGAGAGAGGGGTTCCAAGCGTACTAAAGCAGAAATGTGAGGAGTAGAGCGAGATGACAATGGAGAGCCTAACTTGTCTGTACAGGTGCATAAGTTAAGAGAGTACATCTGGTGGTTACACAGACACTAAGACATTGACGTCTAGTTAAAATGGTTAAGGTGTTAATTTGACTCGGCCAATCAGGGCAGACCATTTGAACGTCCAATAGAGCGCAACAGTGGGCTTTCAGAAGTAAAAATCCCATTTAATTTCTCCATAAAGAAATAAATTTTTAACAAGAACATGAAAACCTTTGAAACAGATGAGAAACCATGAGCTCAGTTTGATTTCACCATAAAAAAAAAAACTAAAAAAAAAACTAAAAATGCTGAATTTACTGCGAGGAACTACACTACCCATAATCCTGAAGAGGGCTCCACCAATCAGAGACACTGCTGCTACCATGGAAACAAAAATCATGGCAAGAGTTCGGTAAGGACTACCCACCCCCATTAAGCATTGCGAATTACAAACAAAGAGATGCTTGTTCACACCAAAACGAATATTTGTTGCAACAATTTGGTGCGATAAACATTTCTAATTTTAATCAACGGCTGTTCATTTCGGTTCATTTCACTGTGAAAAAAACTGGCCAACCAATAAGATTCTCACTTGTGGTCACATGTCCATAGCCACTACTGTTACAATTTGAATTTCCATTTTATTCAGCCTGTCCTCCATTTTTTATGCATTGGTCTGAACAGAAAACTTCAAATGCAAAAATCAAACCAAATTTGTGGCGAACACGGTGTGTGAACGGGGTTTAAATCTCCCTAAACTTTTAAACTACTTTTATATTTGATCAATTGTTTTGCAATATACACACATACAATTAAATTATGTTTTTATCCTTATAATGACAATAAGTCAGTAATTGTACCATCTAGGTCTGTCAAAAAAAATTCGAATTTCGAATATTCGTCAAATTTAAAATAAAAATCCACATTTTAGGTGTGCGTTAAGGAGGCAGCCTTATCAGTGGCGCACGAGATGCGATGACGTGTCGTTGCATTTTAATATTTTTGTTAGCCTATCCAGTTGAAGCCACTAGATGCGGCGCTGCTTCGTTGTTAATGACAAATATAGCGGGAAAAGAGAACATCAATGCGGAGAAGATCTTGTTTACGTCAAAACTGAAACCAAGCCGTTCACACAGAACGCATATTTCGCGCATTTTCTAGAGGGACATCTATCACCGTTGCACTCGCGTCTCGCACAAAAGAGTGGCATGTTTAGAAAGCCATGTAAAATTAATGCAAGTTCAACTTTGAAAGCATATCTCGAGAGCCCTAGTACCGTCATGTTTTTATTCGATTGTCATTCACAATGCTTTGATGGGTTGAGTAGTTCAAACCATCAATGAATCTAAGTATGCGATCTTGTACCTTCATTTTTTTTCATACCTAATTACTGTGTATGGTACGTTGTGATTTATCTTGGAACTGGTCAGTTTAGTTTTTGGCTTAATTTTTTTTATCCTTATGGAGAAAGTGGATGGGAAAAACACTGTCGCTGATAAAGTGGGCGGTCACTGTTGTGCTCTGATGTGACACAGACGAAGGGGCAGATTGGAGCCGAGTGACAAAAGCTTTTAACAGTTTTTCTTGCGACGCTACTGCAGGTTCCAATTTTGCTGTTGATTTCCATATTAAACAAACAAACAAAAAAATCCTAAACTTGTAGATATTTCGCCCATTTCAAGTGGGCTGTGTTCAAGTAACCCTGGGAAAAAAAAAAAGTTAAAGCTTTGGGATATTTTGCTTTTTTAATGACAAGGTCATTAAAAATCATGCACGCTGCAAATAACCTCATGCAGTAGTTATGGTAAACCATCCAAGCACTTTTTATTCATTAATATTCATAAATACACACAGCAGCTTCATTAGAGAAGGTCTCTTTGTTTCCTCTTCAGTTTTTGAATGTGGAGTATTTATAAGGAGAGCCTTTTGCAAGACACAAGAAGCAGAGGTCTGCCACAGATACCTACGCTCACCTGCATAAGGAAAAAAATGAGTTATGTGGAATTGATTATCAACTTATATATATTTATTTATATATTTATATTTCTTATTTTCTCTCTCTCTCTCGTTCCGTTTATGTGTCTCTCGGTTTCGCTCACTCTCTCACACGCCTGTTCGGATGTATTTTGATTTTTTTTCCCTCTCGCTCTCCTTTCATGGATTTATACAATGTAACAAAGGTGACAGACCTGAAATTACAATCACCAAAAAAGAAAAAAAAAAAAGAACAAAATTAGAGAGAGCTGTGTTTTTTGCCCACCGTCATTGGCAGTTACAGCACAGAGGACATTGTCTGCGTTGTGGTGGGATATCATCAAAGAGGAGGTGGTGGAGGCTCCTTGCCTGTGGAGCTCTCCTTCAGGTTGAGGCTCTCCAGAGCCACGTCTAAAGGCATGATGTCCACACAGCCCATGGCGCCGAAGTCAGCAAAGTCTCGCCTTTCGTCCTCGTCGGAAGACGAGCTCTCTTCTCGCATTAGTGTGGACAGCAGCAGCTCCTGCACGAACAGGCTGCGGTCCGCGCGCTCGCTCTCCAGCGCCTGCCGTTCTGCCTCTGACATTTTCGGCTCGTTCAACCTGGTGGAATTAGATGGGACAAATACTAAATTCAAAATGTATTATTGTCTATGAAATCTGTTTTATCCCCCCACCCAATTCTGTGCTTTCTTGAATTTTTCTGAATTCCATTTTAATGGTTTAACTGAATGTTAATAATCAAAGAGGATGTCTAAACAATTAAATTCATAACATTTCAACAATTACAATTTTAACAATATAGGGCCCAATAAAATGCGTTTCATCTTTTCAGAAATTAATTTTTTGGATTCTGTGTTTTATGGTTGAATGCATTTATCAAAAAATGCTGATAATTAAATGAATGCATAAAACGTTACTAGTTTAATTAATCTTTTAAAATGTAATAAAATAAAAAAATACAATTTTGGCAAACAAAGTGCTGCACAATAGAGGTTTACTGTTCAATTATAACTAATAAAAATGTTTGATATTTCTTAGAAATAATATTTTAAATTGCTTTACTATTAATATGACTTCAAGATACTGTACAAAACTAATACAGAGTTCTGGAATGAAACTCTAGATGGCGCAGTCCGATAGGTCTAACTCAATCTGACCTAATGACATCATCACATGGCTCAGCTGATTGGTTCTCTCCTGTATCAGTAACCAATGAGCTCGCTGCTCAACATTCAAATATATGACTAGTGCTTGCCGTAGCAGTTGCAGCTTGCTTCAGAAACCCTCCACCTTCCCCAGCTCCACCTGTATAGATCTGCTACGAGGTGATTCATGTATGCTATATGGGGGTTATTTCATGTATGTTATATTTGCAGCAGCAATATTTCTTACATGCTTACAGCAGCATGTTGTGGATGTATTGGCAGTAGCAAGTCTCGGTACTTGCTCTGCCGCAGCAGCAGCGTAGCAGTTCTATTCCGCCAAGCCCAAATACATTAACAATATCATGTACATTACCATGCCAATCCCTCAGAGAGTTGTCATGACAGAAATATATTTCTGCCACAATTTTAAGTAAAACCGTAGTTTTATTTTGGCAGGGCATACTGAAGACTTTGAGTTTCTGCGATAGTTTTAACAAATGAAATGGTGAAATACTCGTGAAGTAAACTCTCAGAGCAGCTCTTGATTTGAAGCTCACATGTTAATTTTCTTTTTAAAGTTGACTTAAGTGTTCTTTCCCCAGAATTTCATTTTTATTTCCCCTACATTATGATATCAGGAGTTTTAGAACCCTAACATTTTTGACTATGTCCCAAAAAAATATCTGAATTTTCATTAAAAAAATAAGAATGTTCTGAAAATACAGCAACAATCTTGAGAATATGCTGATGTCTGAACCGTACCGTGTGAGAAGAAACTGGGAGCTGTGGGAGGCCAGCGTGTTGCTCTCAGACATGGCTGTGTTTGTGGTGGTGCTGGGCGGCGGGATGTTGGCGCTGATGTTGCTAGGGTTGCTGCGTTGGCGTGTAGCGTTACGGGCCGTCTCCAGCTGCTGGCGCGCCGCCTGTGCCTGCTGGCGCTCCAGCTGAAGCTGCATTTGCAGTTGCTGCAGCTGCGAGGCCGAGGGGCCAGAAGAGTTGAGCTGTCCTCCTGCGGAGCGCCGCACACCCGACAGCTGAGAGAGCAACTCTGGTGATGTAGACACCAGGGGAAAGAGAACCACTGTGTGAGAAGACGCTTAAAACGGCACTTGCATCAACAAACTGAAGACACATAAGCCAGGTAAGTACAAAGTCCTGTGTACATGCTCCCTACTTCCTGTCTTTAGACATTACACACCTGCTATGGGGTCCATGGCTTCCCTATTGCTTGGAGAGTAGGAGGAGCTTTGTGAAGAGGAGAGGCCACCAGTGGAGCTGCTGGTAAAGTGCATGTTAGTCCGGCGTGCCCGCGGGCCGCCCAGTCCACGCCCAGGGTGGAACATCCGACGCACGTGTCGCACGCCGCTGCTCTCGTCGTGCACATGCTGGTTAAGGAGCAACTGGTTGAGAATGTGTCACCACACACCCGATGCAGAAGACACATCATATCTCATCCTCAATCATCTAATATAGTCATTAAAATGCTAAGCGCATATGGCACATTGAGCAGTGGCACTCATGCAGAAATTTCAGGTTTGAGTCCGATGTGTTGTGATTTCATTACCTTTTTTGCTCCACACTTTTCTGTCACTTTATCACTTAACTCTGTCTGTTTGAAATATCTTTTGTAATACATAAAAGTAGAATCATAAAGGTTTGGAGTGACAAGAGAGTGAGTAAATAGCACAATTTTAGGTTCTGTGAGAAGAACCTTTACATTTCTTAAAGATGTAAGGACATAAAACCTCAATAAATCTTTGTAAGGTTATCTCTGAAGAGACTTGAACACACACACACAGGCCTCAGTCATTATACATCAGCAGAACCTATGTGTGTACATTGTAAAATCATTCTTAAGTAAAGAATAAATTGAACATTAAATGGAAGGTTTTTATGAAAGAAGTCCATTATATATTGGGACATATACACATTAGGTTAAGATAAAAGGATATTAAATCTCTAGGTGCTCTGTGTTCAAGTGTGAGATGAGCAGCAAAGTCATCTGTCACATGATTGGGGTCGCCACCAGGCAAAGCTGCACAGATTGGGCAAATCTGAAACAGAGAATACATACATATTAATAATGAATTAATGTAACCTCACATTAAATGGACACATGCTTGTTCATGGTTGTGTTATTTTCATTTAAAAAATTAAAGTTAATGTTTAGAGGTACAAAGTCATGTGTCTGTAAGCAGCAGTTCAGATAGACGAGGAGCTGTTGATATTGTTATAATTGAAAGACAGAGTGTAAAGTCACAGCAGCAAACAGAGTCAAAAGAGGTAATATAAAAATCAAATGCAGATTATTATTACAACCAGAAGGCCACTTTTATCATTTTCCTGTAATATATCCCTATATCTCTTAATATAGATAATTTTATTATCCATCTTCCATTCCAGGAGAGCGAGAACATGTTTAACATTTTTAAAGCAAGTGCATTTTGCATTAAAAGCACATGAATGATTAGTTCAGGAATTTGAACTTTTCTCTCAGTGGTTGATGAAAATTCACATCACGTTCTGTGTAAAGAGTTCTGATGTAAATTCCTGCAGACGATCTGTGTTTGCTGTTAACAGGCTTTATTTTAAACACATCAAACTTTGATGATAAAGGTCTTGAGAAAACCTGACATTGCTGTACAATAGGGCTGGGTTGAAAATAACGATTTCTCGATTTTAATCTATTCTTATTTTAATTAACCAACATTGATTCTTAAATCCCAAGAATTGATCTATGCTCTTGTCAGTTTATGTGCGAACAAAACTGCGGGAAACATTATTTGTAGCAAGCCTCCCATCCAATAAGTCGCAAAAAGCTTTGAACTTTGTTACTTTTTAAAGTTTCATCTCTCATATGTCAATTTTATTTTTAAATTAAAATAATAAAATACAGCTTTGGCACTCTTTAAATGCAGCTTGACAGAATGCTGTAGCCACCTTATTTAAAGCATGAAGTGTGAAGTCCATTAGGGTTGTGACGGTGAGGAAATTTTCCCACCGGTTAATCGACGTGTGACAACACCGATAATACCGCTATCACCGCGAGGGCGGGGCGTTCCCTCTTTCCCTCGCTTTCCTTCGCTTTTAAAGCTTGTAAAAGCGGTGTGCCCATTTTACTTGCACTTTAAAGTAGCGGCAATTCGGAGTAAAGCAATTGTTCGTTTTTAGTTCGTTTGAATTTTCACTCTTTTCCTCGCTTTCCTTCGCTTTTAAATAGCTTAAAAGCGCCGTGCGCATTTTACTTTCACTTTTGAATTGGCGGCAGTTTGGCGTCAATTGCTTGAATGCAACAACAAAATACAACGTCAAACTCACTTTAGCCAATATATAAAACATAGAACTTTTATTAACAAAACAAATAAAAATACACCATGCTATAGGGCAGGCTATGCCTAATATAAAATAACAAATAACTTACATAAAGTTTAAATAGGTATACAAAACTGAATGAAATCTGATCTGTGTGATGCGACTGTCGTTCGGCACGCTGCATTGACCAGCGTTGGATTATATCAGTGGGCCTGAATATATCTATTTTATGGTCAGATAGCCCGTTAGTTGCCTTGAATTTTTTCAAGAGTACTTGGACAGCGATCTTGGAAAGTGATTTTGTGCCTCTTTGGGATGGCATTATAATGCGCTGTTCACTTGCAGAGGGCACATAATTCTGATGTAGTGAATTTAGGTAAAGGGGTGCAGAGCAAGTGGTGATTTTGTAGGCAAACATCAATGCCTTGAATTTTAGGCGAGCAGCTATTGGTAGCCAGTGCAAATTGATGAACAGAGGTGTGACATGCATTCTTTTGGCTCGTTAAAGACTAATCTTGCAGCCGCATTCTGGGTTAGTTGTATAGGTTTGATAGAATTGGCTGGAAGACCTGCTAAGAGAGCACTGCAATAGTCCAGTCTGGATAAAACAAGAGCTTGAACAAGGAGTTGTGTAGCATGTTCCGAAAGCAAGGGCCTGATCTTCCTAATGTTGTATAAAGAAAATCTGCAGGACCGGGCAGTTTTAGCAATGTGGTCTGAGAAATTCAGCTGATCATCAATCACAACTGCAAAGTTTCTGGCTGTCTTTGAAGGAGTTATGTTTGATGCACCTAGCCGGATGGTGAAATTGTGATGAAGTGATGGGTTTGTTGAAACCACAAGCAGTTCTGTCTTGGCTAGGTTGAGTTGAAGGTGATGGTCTTTCATCCAGCAAGAAATGTCTGTTAGACATGCTGAGATGCGAGCAGATATTGTCAGATCATCAGGATGGAATGAGAGGTAGAGTTGAGTGTCATCAGCATAGCAGTGATATGAAAAGCTTCTGAATGACAGAACCTTGTGATGCCATGTAGACAGAGAAGAGAAGTGGTCTAAGAACTGAGCCCTGAGGCACCCCAGTAGCTAGATGTTGCGACTTGGACAACACACCCCTCCAAGATGCCTTCTACATGATCAGCTCATGCTGGGCACTCTGGTCAGTTTTGTGATTTGAATGTTCCTCACTCGCATCGTGAGTTTGCCTATGCAAGAGGACTATGTCTACAACTTGAACTGAGATTGTGGGTTGTGTCAAATAGGTCATGTGGACTACTACGGTAGTTAGGCTATGAGGCACCTATGCATGTTGCTATAGCTTATTCGTGTTTTTATAGCCTTAACGCATTGTCCGTGCAGGAATCAAGCTAGCTGAAATCAATCTTCAGCATTTGTCTTAAACTGCTGTTGCAGCCCCAACGAGTTGGCAGTGTTCGACTAAGTCGTGTAAATACTGACTGGGGATTAGCACCAGTGCTACTGCTGCCTTCGTGTTCATCTGCACGGTGTTAACTCCGCGTGCATTATGTTCATGACAGCACCGGCATCACCGCTGCAGTGGACATTAGCACTAGGTGTTGGCACAACCGCCACCATTAACCGCACAGCACGATCAGGCTTGCCACCGGTTGCAACATTATGCAATAGCGTCTGTGCTACTGCCGCAAGCATTATTTGGCCACCAGCACACTGACGGTGTGGTACTCACACTGCGGATGTCACATATCCCGCAGTAAACATTGCTAGGCGATAGTGCCGTCGCCTATCCATGTGTCTGCATTGCTGAATGTCTGCTGTTAATGCAGTTTGGAAACAAGCACCGACATGAATGCTGGCAGTTAGTGTATGGTTAATCCAGGACGAAGGCGAGACCGCTGTCCTTTACTCTGCAATGAGTTTGCAGTAGTCTAATGCATTGTGCAACTGGCTCTTATAGCTGCTATGCTGCTGAGCTTATAAGGTCTTCCGTTGTGTGAAGTACTTTTAGTTGAGGTCAACAGCTTTGATTGCAGATGATCTGGACCTACGCTATCAACATGGCGGGATTTTATGAGATCCCCAGATGACGCAGTGTCGAGAGACCGACTCGAGAGGGAATATCTCCGATTACCTAATGTAACCTCGGTTCCCTGAGAGGAGGGAACAAGACACTATGTACACTGCTGTGTTACACAGCTCACAGTCTTTGTCAGCTGCATTCTGCTTCAGTCCAAAGATACTGAGGCAATGGCATTCAGCGCCACCTTATAGTGTGGGCCCGCGCTCAAAAAAAAAAAAAAAATCATGATAACATTTTTCATATCAGTCGATATCAATAATTATCACGATAAATTTAAAATCTTTATTTCTTTCAGGTTTCAAGGCAGATTTTTGCTCCTTAGTGAAAGTTGTAGAAACCGTACAATTAATTGTGGTTTTAAAGGGGTCATATGATGCGATTTCAATTTTTTCTTTCTCTTTGGAGTGTTACAAGCTCTTGGTGCATAAAGAAGATCTGTAAAGTTGCAAAGACTAAAGTCTCAAATCCAACGAGATATTCTTTATAAAAGTTAAGAGTCAACCACGTCTACCTAAAACGGCTTGTTCTAACACGACCCCCCCACATGTCAACGTCACGATGTGGGAAGATTTGCATAACACTGCCCGAATGTTCACGCAATGAAAGAAGGTGTAACTTTTATTTCTCGCTGTAGTATTGTTGCTGCCGCCATGTCGTGAAGGCGCTGTGTGTTTCGTTGTGAAAATAAACACATTTCATTACACCAAATACCCAAAATAATGTTCTTTTTAACAACATCATATGACCCCTTTAAACTACTCTTTATAGAGTCAGAACATGACAAACACTTCACGTTTTTGAATTATTTACTTTTTCAATAATTTTTCCTTAACAAAATAAATATCTTAATAGAAAAAAAAATTTTTTTAGTTTCTGCATGTTCTAATGAGTGATATTGTTTATTATTTTACTGTTTAGATTTTTATAATACATTATCTTCTTATCGATCCACCAGTTCACATTTACAGCTCTGCGTGTTTGCAGGGTAAAAACACGGATCGATTTTCACATTGGTCTGAACAAAAACAACCCCAATACTGTGCTCCTGCAATACCAGAGGCTTCAGTTTAATTACAGTAGTATAAATATAATACTGCAGTATAATTAAAAATAATAAAAATTATAATAAAACAATTTTTTTTTCTTTCTGGGCATTATTGGCATTTTGGTTACACAATAAACTGTATTTAAATTAATTTCCATTTAATTCATAGTAAATATTGTAGTTTCTGGCTGGGATGCTTCCCCACAGGAAGAAAAGTCAAAGAACCTTATATGACACATTATTCAATATATAGATTTTACTAGTATCAGTAAAATCTGTGTCCCATTCACTATGAGAGACACTATATGACAAAGCAAGGAGAACTCTACCATTAAAATGCTGTAATTTTGCATAATTTACAATGCATAATATGAGTATTTAATTAAATGTAATAGTAGCCTATGTAATTAAAATTAATTTAAATAAATAAAAATACTGGGTTACACTTTATTTTAAGGTGTCCTTGTTACAGTGTAATTATACATTTAAGTACGGAGTAATATTAATTAACTACATGTACTTACTAGGCCTATATGGTAGGGCTGCACGATTAATCGAAATTAAATCGCAAAGGCGATAAATCGTGATTAGGCAGAAGCTGCTATTGTCATGCGTATCTTTCAGTGAAGCACGGTTCTGTGATCAGCAGTAAATCTCCATCCGAAGGCCAGAGGGCGCTCTCTCGCGTTAACTCCAAATACGCCCCGCAGAAGAAACCCAAGAAATCCCTATAGCGGTTGCTGAATAAACAGAAGATTTAACTGCTTTCATTAATTCAACGTGACTAATAAACACACGACTACGACAATATATGGTTTATCCGAGTTTGTCTTATTCTAATTTTTATTATAATAAAGTATATATAATAATGCAATGCTAATCGACACAGCCTTTACCACAGCTTAGAATACTATGAAATATGTTGCGTGCCTTATTCTGTGTTAGAAGCCACATCATCTCACAGAAGGATTTATTTCAAACACTCGACTGACGTTATGAAGTGAGTTTGGAGTAAAAACATGTTATTAAATGTGGTATTTTTACGTGCTTTCAGGTGGAGGAGCATTTACTACACAGAGCCGTAGTTCACTGACAAGCTACGCAAACAGCTTTCATAATCGCAGAACGATTTCTTCGATTTCATAATCAAAGTCTGCGATTTTTTTTTTGCGTAACTTGTCAGTGAACAACGGCTATGTGTAGTAAATTCTGCTCCATCTGAAAGCACGCGATGATGATTTCCTGCTGATTACAGAACCGGCAATACTATCGCGATTAGGCAAAAGCTGCGATTGTCATGCGTATCTGTCAGTGAAGCACAGTTCTGTGATCAGCAGTAAATCTCTATCCGAAGGCCAGAGGGTGCTTATAATCGCAGAACGATTTCTTCGATTTTATAATCGCGCGATTAAATTGTCTGCGATTATGAACGCAATTTTGCATAGCTTGTCAGTGAGCTACGGCTCTGTGTAGTAAATGCTGCTCCATCTGAAAGCACGTGCTGGAGATTTACTACTGATCACAGAACCGGCTTTACTGACAAGATGCACATGACAATCACATTCGATTAATCGTGCAGCCCTACTATATGGTTAGGGTGAGGATTAGGGTTTGGCTTAGGGAACCTTGCAAGTAATTATGCATAATTAATTGTTATTATAATAGTAAGCACATGTAACGTGTAACAAGGACACCTTAAGATAAAGTGTTACCAAATATTGTTAAAAATCACACATTATTTGTTTTTTGTCACATGTAAAAGACCATTTTTGTGCCGTGGGTAATAGGAGGATTTTCCACCCTGCTACCACCGCAAGTATATTTCAAACCTATGGGAAGCACTGAAAATCATGCAGTGCAGGCTGCAGTATTAATATTAAATTTTTTGTCTCTTAGAAATGCACATTTGACAGTAGCTTGAGTTTACAGTAGTAGCTTGAGTTAGGATGCAGATGTAAATTTGTGTTCATTATCAAAAACAGTAACATTTGGAAAAAAAAAAACATTGTAAAAACCAATTTTTTATATGGTGAAATGTAATTATTCTGACAGTTTTACTAAAATTAGCCACTGGTTTTCCATTGCATACATTTAGATCATAATAATAACCACACCTAAAACCACACATACTGTATATAGCAAAAAAAATGTGTATATATTTATATTTATATAGGGCTGGGCGATATAAAAAAAAAATTATATCTTGATATTGTAAATTTTTACGATATTCGATATATCTCGATATGTTTGCATTTGCTTTTAAATAATAAAAAAAACATGAATTTCTTTTGCCCCCATTAAAAAAAACAACAAAAACAATTTAGATAGAAGTTATTGTTACAAAGTAAATACAAAATATTTAGTGCAAATTTAAGCAGTTAAAAAAACAGATCTAGACCAAGTGATCACTTACGGCTTTCTATTAAATGAACACATGTAGGCCTATATGTAACTGAAGTAGCGCAAAACAAGTACAGAAAGTGCATTGTCAACTTTTTTGGTGCATGCAATTCACAATTTACACTGTGCAACTGGGGGAAATAATTAAACTGGGATAAGTATTTTTTGCAAGTTTTTAGCTAAGAACACAAGTCTGTCAACTGTCTCTGGTTTAAGAGAAGCTCTGTGGCATGAAACTATGTTCCCACTGGCTCTAAAAACCCTCTCAGATGGGAAGCTAGTTGCTGGAACACATAGGAATTTCTTATATATATATATATATATATAAATTAATACCAAAGACTTATGCACTTATGTACAACAGCGGTTGAGTAAGTGCATTTAATTCAACGATCACAATAGCAAACAATATAGTCGAGATCTCATGACAGAACACAGACCGGCTGAATGACACTTTCATTTAGATCGCTAAACTCCAGCTTGTTTGTTGGTGTTTTCAGATCATCGGCAGCGGCGCTTCCACAATGAGGAGCGAGCGCGTGCGCATGGTTGCCAGATTGCTTAAAATAAGCAAAACACTGGGATAGGCTTGCCGCGACAGACGGTGCTGACGGTGATACCGGTGTTAAGCCGCAACACCGGTTACGTCACTTGCCCACCGCGTCACCGACCCCCACCGTCGTTTTGATTTTTTATGGACTTGCTGAAGTAGTCTGTTTTTCTCCTTAAAGGGACAGTTCACCCAAAAACTGTCATTATTTACTCACCCGCGATTGGACATGCGCCCGAAGCTCAAAGTGTAATTTGTTTGTCCGTTTTGGAGCGCGGCGCGCGCATACATTTCAGCCTGAGGAACAGCGTCTCTAGTGCGGATTGTGCTTTCAACATTTTATTATCAAACATGTCCCGCAATTTAGCAACAGTAAAAACGGGATCTTACAACAATCACCGATTGAGCTGATTCTGACGTTAAGTTTGGGTTTTAGGGAGGAACGAATGCGCACCGCTGTGAAGGGAAAGAAGTTGCGCAACCGTGTTCACATATAAGGGGGAAACGCACCAGGTTCCGAAACAACAGGCCAGGTATGAAAGCACCCTTACACTATGTGTGGTGGCACTTCCCCCGGGGGAAATATAGGCTATATATAAAACAGCAAATGGGCTTATTGAAAATGCACATTCAGGAGGCGCTTTAGGAGCGGCAAAAATAGCGGTTTCCCCAGTAACGGCAGTGCTGTGCTCATAAACGCTGCTTTATCAGGCGTTATAAGAAAGATTAAATGAAAATGACATTGAAACTTTTCTTTTCAGTTCCCTTCAAAGATACATTCATATAAAAACGCCCACGCCACGTTTTGATATTGTGATATACGTTGCATATTCAACAAAGTCAAAGCATTTTTTTGGAAAATCTATTTGTGGCAGTCATTGTTGATATTGTGAAATAAATATATCAAACAATAAATTAATGTATGGGAAACACTGTGTATATATATATATATATATATATACGGCAAAACATGTACAAATGTAACTATATGGTTTCTAGATATTTGCATGAAAAACAGTGTAAATACATTTAATATAAGTGCACAAACACTATAGCTTAAATCACAAAAAAATACTGTACATTATTCCTTTAATACATGTCGACAATAATAATATAATAAAATTGGATATGACATAAATCCATGGTAAATCATGGCGATTTGTAGATGGAAAAGTCCTGTTTAGTGTTCGTGTGAAACTTATCTGCGAGTAAACGCATCTGCACTAAGGAGCTCGTGCTGCGCTGCCGTTTGAACTTTGAGCTGAGCGGATAAATGCTCCGTGTGGCGCGGTTCAAATCAGTAGCGCTGTTTCGTTTCGCTTTTGGCACTTAAACTTTACATCGAACATTTATAGAACTCTTGTTATCGAAGAAAATTATATTGCAATAATTATCATTATCGTTTTATCACCCAGCCCTACATGACAAAGATTGTATCAGTCAATGTGCATGTAGTTTTAATGTTTAAATGGTTTAAGTTTAATTAATTTAGGGCTGCAACTAACGATTATTTTGATAATCGATTAGTTTGTCGATTATTTTATCGATTAGTTTGTCGATTATTTTTCCGATTAATCGGGTTTAAAAAAAAATCTTTATTTTAATTTTATTGACAAAAACACACTATTCCACATTCTGCCCAATGTCCTTCAAACAAATGTGCCAACTGAATGCAATGAAAAAATACAGTGTTTAACAATTGATTAGACCACCTGCCATAATAGAGAAAACACAAATATTTTAGGAATCTGTCAAAAAATTGTTTAAATCTAAAAATGTTATTGTCATTTATTGGGCAAATAACAAACCGAAACAACTAAATAGTATTTATTCACATAATAACAAAAATTGACTCCTTTGCCTTTGATAACAGCTTGCATGCTTGCTGGCATTGTTTATGTACTTTTTGACTAATTGGGTATCTGAATTAAAAAAACACTAAAGCACTTGACTATTTTTTCTGCCTGTCTTTCATAGATAACAGCAATAATTATATCATAGCATTAGAAATAGCCTACTACTGTTACTAAAGAGCTTACGAATATTGGAGGACTAACCAATACAGAAAGCTAAAAAATGATTTTGGTCATTACCAATACTGTTAGTTAAGAGCAGCAGTGGCACAAACCTTACAAAATTGGTTAAAAACCTTACATAAATTTGTTTTAATAAATTTGTTAATCACTGTAGGCTATATAGTGAATATAGTTGAAATCTCTAGATCAAAAATTTTTATAATAAAGACGAATAAAATCACAGTAATGTTCTGCAGGAACACGCGTCACGTGCACTTTGATCACAGTCAGTCTCCTCTTACTGTCATTTCTTTATCTTGTAAAAGCATCTGTTTTGTTACATCTAGTGTGGACAGACAATTTCAATTTGCTTGTCACTGAAATCTTATCACATCCGTTTAAGACACGGTGTAAAACACATGATTTCAACAAAGACAGCATGTGTACTCACCACCTCTGTAGAGGTCTCTGCGTGTTCTGAGGTCACGTGCTCCTGTAGAGATGTTTCCGTGTAGCCCATTTTACCACAGTAAGGACAAGTAAACGACTGAGGCTGCTCTACTGAGAATGCCTCCCCCCCATAATACAAGTCTGCAGAGAGTTCAGATAAAAGTTAAACACAGTTCCTTTATTTACCTTCACCATCATTACTAAGATTAGGGCTCAACAGTCAGGATGGTCTGTTCACATTCTGTAATGTTTTCAACATTACAAGAGGGATGTAACGATTCACTCAACTCGCGATTCGATTCACGATTTTGATTTCACAATTCGATTTTCTCAAAAAAAATTTTGAACAAAATGAGATTGAAGACATTATACAGTAAATTAAAAGGTGTTGTTTTATTAGGCTATTGCTGCACGTTTCTTTGTGAAATTGAAATATAACAAAACTAAATTGAAATTTTAAAACAGACCCCAAATCAAACAAGTAAGTTACACAAATTTGTGAAATATATAACAAAACTAAATTGAAATTTTAAAACAGACCCCAAATCAAACAAGTAAGTTACACAAATAAAATAAATCTCTTAATATGAACAAACTAAGGGTGTACTCACACTAGGCACGGTTGCCTTGAACCGAGCCCGAGTGCGATTATCCCCACTCCCCCGCTGGCCTGCACTCACACTTGCACTAAACTTTCCGGGCCTGAGCACGCTTACGTCATGTACGAGATAGCGGAGAAAACCACTTTCACTAATATTCTGCCGAATAATTAATAATAATTAATTTATAATTTATGTTGTGTATTGATTTTCACTTGTATGTATCAGAGAATTATTACGGAGGCAGCTGACGTTAATTAAATAATTTGCAGCTTTACTCGCAAACTACATTCCCTGTTCATCAATAAGGTGAGAACCAGAACCATTATAAACCTAAATATACTTGATTGAATTAAATTAATTGAAAAGTGTAGTGTAGTAGTAGTAGTAATAGAATATGTTTGTGGTCGTAATGATGACAGTGCACACAAAACAGTATTTGTTCCGCGCTCTGGCGCGGTTAGCGCTCACACTGCATGCATACCGCGCCCGAGCCCAACCGAACCGTGCCCTGGCCCACCTCTTCCAACCGGGCCAGGGCCATTTAAAATAAGAGGCAACCACTGGATTTTAATCATGATCCAAACAAAGATGCAGCATACATGTTTTTAACAGTAGTAACATGTTTTACAGACTGTATAATTTCGAAATTTGAAGCAAAAACAGAATGGTCTGACTTTAGTTTTGTGAAACTATACTACATCAGGGCTCGACACTAAGGACTGCCCGATGGCCCGGGGCCAGTGTGAAAGACGTTCGGGAGAGTAGACGGATTTGTCACTTGCCCGATCGGGCCACTGCAGCGTCGTCACGACATTTTATCATTTGCATGTGCTTTTAAGCCTTGTTCATTTAAAAATTCAAGCGATTAAAAAGCATTTGTGCGCGAAAGACAACTCCATTCAGTATTCGCGCGCTGTGTTTTGTGTGAACAGCGCGCCCACAGCCACGTCTCTGACTCTGACACGCGCGAGCCGCCTGAACAGGCAAATACATACAAAAGTAGCCCATGTCAACATACCCGTCTTGCCAAGTAACTTTGTAGATTTAACAATGTTTAATCTATATTTCCTTTATACACTGGAGTACAGATGCACCGATCGACTGTCCATTTTTGTTTTATTTCAGACTATCTTCTGTTCCGTGCTTGCTAGGCATGGGACGATAACCGGTTTCAAGGTATACCGCAGTTTGGAAAAGTCACAGTTTTAAAACCACTAAAATTTTCTGTTATACCGTTCATGCGGTATGAGCAGTTTTTTTATGTGTCA